GCTTACTCCCCAGGGGGTGCGGGGAGCAGCAGGGGGCAGCACAGGAAGTAGCAGCGGTGCAGGGGCCATGGGAAGCAGTGGTGTGCCTGGCTGCATTGCATGACGCTCACATGCAGTCCTCAAGAGCGGCACACGGTCTAGCCCCGTCTCTCTCTCTCTCTGCCTCTCACCCCACCCACTATAACCCCACACCCTCCCACAGCCCCCACCCCAACCACATACCCATCTACACCCACCCACCATACTCACATGCCACCACACACACACACACACAGACTCCCCAACCATACCCCCCTACATATACTTCCTTACTGCCCACACACAATATACAGTAGGACTGTATTTTAGCTATTATGCACTCACCTCTAGATACACTTTGCAAACACATAAAACAGTACAAAAATATTTTTAAATAAATTTAAATAAGTTATAGTACATGTTTTATTTTTTTTGTATATAATATTGGGTCTTTTTGGTTTCAAGATTGCAGCACCCTCCCTCCCAAAAGGAGTACCTCCAGGGCAAGTGAAGGGACTTCTGGTGGCAAAGATCAGGGGTTAGGGGGTGGGACTTATGGCCCAAATACGGTGACCAAGGTGGAGCAACTGTCAAGGGGTGGGGCTACCTATGTGACCCTCAATAGCTCAACAAAACTTGGTAAGCTGCCCTCCACCCGAAATAATTGCCTGTGTGGTCCAGAGAGGTCAAGACAGGTAAACCAATCAGATGTGGTTGTTATAAAGAACCAACAAGTCCTGCCCCCACGTGGGCACATCTCAGTAACTTACCTTCCAACTGTCAGATTTATCTCATCTGTGCAGGCCTTAATTTTGTTCTGTGCTTCTAAGTGTGTCATATTGTCTGTGTTCACTCCATCAATTGCCATGATGACATCTCCTATGCATAAACTGGCTATTGCAGCTTTGCTCCCAGGAGTCACCTAAGGTGGAACAAAAAGGGATCCATTACAGAGAAACAGGAGCTTTTCCAAACACATTTTAACCCTGGGTGACTTCCCAGACAATGTTTCAATAACAGAGGATAGCCCATAGGTTTGTCTTGCTAAAGCAGAAAGTGAAGGGGTGGAAATCAATTAGAGCAGATTATAAATAAAAGTGGACCCAAGCTAATGAAATTTGAATCTGGACCTCAATTTCCTGCTGTAGCCAGAAGTATTAGTCTAGGATTTTGCCTGGGAACCATATGGAAATGGAGGTGTTACATTTTCCCTACATGCAAAGCTCAAATGTGTACTTTTCAGCCTCAGTTACTGATTTTGGACTAAAGAAAACAACAGACAAGAGGGGACATATATGAGAGAGACAGAGCAGACACCCAGTGACTCACTCACATCTAGCATAAGCAATGGCACTGAAATTGAGGGTACAGCACCGGACAATCAGGGAGGCGGATGCTCTACAAATAGAAAGGTACAGTCCACCCAAAAGAGAGAATATAGAAAAAACAGCAAACACCAAAGCAGCCAAATGCAAAGACTCAGCTCTGGAACAAGCTTTAAGAAATCAGTGTACAGTGAGGCAGGGAGTCAGGCTTGGACCCAAGATTTTGGTTTGGGTTCACCTCTGCTTTTAATAAATCAGTAAGACCCAGAAAAAGAACCCAGGTGGGATTTCCAGCTTGAAATAAACAGTTTGCATAAAGATGGAATGTTGCATAAAATGGCAGAGCTTCAGAAATTTAAAACCCCTCCACAAGGGCTGCAATAAATCTGGTATCATTTAGGAATAACAAAGGTAAAAAGGAGCAGAGGATCAACAAATGGTGCAGATAATCAAAAAGCCCAGATACTGGACTTTGCCTAGCTAAAGCAGAACTCAAGTATCTACCCAAGGCTCTTGTGGCTGATTTCCATTTTTCTATGGATACCAAAATGATCCAGAAAGCACTGCAGAATATATTTTGCTGGGCATCAGAGTGGATTGTGGTAAGGTCTCTTCCAGTTTTAATAAGGAACATCCTTAATTATTCTCTGGGTCCGCTGAGGATAGCTAGGCATTAACGGCCATTTTTCCTTTCACCTGTGCAGTGATCAAGTCAGTTATTATAAGCCAGCTAGCATGAAGTTTAGTGTAAGATGCTTATAATATGGGCCTGTTCCAAAGTCCACTGAAATCAATGTAAAGACTCCCACTAATTGCAGTGGACTGTGATTTTCTCCAAAGACAGTGTTGACTTAATCAGCAGACTGATGAGGGTAGAGCATTTCCAGAAGTATCATCTTTTAGGTAAGATGCTAAACCTAACTGATCAGCCCTTATGCAAAGCTCTTTTTGTAAGAACAGTGGAACTGACTCCAGCATCCTAGCCTACATCCACAAAACCTCCAGAAAATGTCCCTTTCCATGTTCAGCTCAGTACAGTGTTCTTTGCTTCTCATCCTAAACTACTGTGCTGTTTAACAGCTAGGCTAGGGACAGAAGTTATACATAAACCAGTTTAAGTGATCAGAAACTGATTTCAACCTGTAACAGAATAGAAGTACAGTACACATAAACCTGGTTCAAAATGGCTAAAACTGGTTTAAGATAAACCTGGTTAAATGTTGTATGAGACTTAACTGATTTAGGTCAAACTGGTTTATTCAACTTCTGTCCCAGACCCCTTCTTGGTGCAAGTTAAATCAGAGTCCCCCAGCATCCCAGCATTTTCAGCCCTGGGCTGGGCTGTTCTGTCTGCTCCAGAGAGCAGGGCTGGTCCTGCCCTTCTGCTCCCTATCTGGAGCAGTGAGAACTGGCTCATTGGCCTCACTGGCTGGCTCACTGCCCTGCCTCAGGCAAACCCCTACTGGGGTCTGGGGCCAGGGAGGGGCGTTAAACTTCCCTTCCCCCAAGTACAGCGCTGCCCTGCCCTGCTTACTTAGTGCTGGCTGTGACTGTGGACTACAAATCCCAGAGGCACCTGGAAACAGGAAGTGATGAGCAACTTCAAAGAGTCCTGCTGCAGTGAGTCTGGATTGCAAATCCCAGAGACCTTAGAGGCAGCATGAAGAGGAAGTGAGCACACAGCCCATGCTGGCTACGTGCCAGAGAGCTGTGCTCTAGCAACCCCCTCCCCCTCACCACCCAACTTCTGGCTTAAGCCACGTAAAAAGGAGATTTTTGAAAAACTAAGCCCCAGTGGTCCTGTCGTTGCATCAGAACAAGAAGATGAATGTGCCTGTATACAGCTCCATTGATTTTAATGGGGTGAGGGAGTTGTGTGCACAGATCCAATTGCAAAGTCACAGCCTACATCACAAATATCCACTTGCAGTTCCATAACCACTAAGGGAAGTCTTATATGGCTTAAATGATTTTGGGGGAGAAAGGCAGTTATTATACCAGCTTTAATCAATTATTAATGCAGGCAGCCCAAGGATATGAAAAGGGTGGACTGATCCAAAATACAAGCACAGATTAAAGTATATCTGAGAGCTGGTACATGCCCAACTTGAGAACCTGCTGCCATAATTATTCATACTTTGGTTTCACAGTCCTTCTTGGCACACCAGACTAGCTATGAATTATCTGAGGAAACCCAGCAGAGTCTTCAGTTATAAATATACCTTGTTTACAGAATATAGAGAAAGCATGCCTAGTATGGGCTGCAAGGCAAAGTACTTCCCTTGGGGTGAGGGGGGGAGAGAGAGAGAGAGAGAGAAATCTACACTGATATGCATCAATATCACTGTGGTGCTGCACTGTTTAATGGGTTTGTCATGTCTCTTGGGCCAGGCTGAGGCTGCTTAGTGTATCCCTTCCCAGCCTCAACAGGACACTCTCCCTGCACATGGAAGGGTGTCATGGAATTAGATGTTTTTTCCTTCATGCCTCTTTGCTATATAACAGAGCTTTGTGTCAAGCCAAGGTGGACACTGATGTGTTTAACCATAGCTGGATACAGACATTTGACACTAATCCAGAGATCTTCAGAAAGTGTTCAGATAACTACCTAACACTTTAAATTAACTTTTCATAGACAGCATGCCCCATCAATAGCTATGCTATTTGCTAGGCAGAATACAATACATCTATCTCCTTAAAATATTAAGACTGCCCAAATTCAAGACATAGCTCTGGGGAAATTAGGTCTGGATCCAAAGACATGAAGACTGGGACTGTCACTGAGCCAGCTAATTGTGCTCCAGTGCAGAGGAGTTCTGGGGTTCTACATTTGACTTAGTCTGACTTCCTCTGTGACCCTGGGCAAGTCACTTAGCTTTTCTTTGCCTCTGTTTCTCTAACTGTAGAACAGAGATAACTGCATTGCATTCATAAAGAGCAGTGAGGTTTACAGATGATTATTGCCATTCCCTCTAATTGAGAGGATACTAATATTGCCAAATGCTTAAAATATAATATATTACCAATATCCCTGGAAGAATTTCACCAAACTATGCAACTTTATAAATTAAAGCTTTCTGAGGCCAGCTATCTGGAATGATCCTGTACTAAGAAAAATATCAGAACCAAGGCAGAAAACTAAGGTTTTAAAATAGCTAAGCCTTCTAAAGAAGGCCCAGTGAATCAAAATGCCATTAGGTTGAGTTAGTAGGGTCTGCAGGCAAATATCTGTTCCAGTCTATCAACACTCATGGTATTGTGTTCCCCTACTTTGCCCACTTCAGGACAGTATGGAATGCTAGCATTGTGGCTGTATCAGATAAATGCTATTTTGGGCATGAGGAAGATGAATGCTATTCAGGTACAGTGCAGACATCTCCCCTAATGAAAAGCCAGAAGGATGAACAATGAAAAAGAGAAAAGCCGACTCACTGAAAATGGAAGGTATTCTTTTATATTTCTTAAAGTAATGACTTGCCCTGAAATATCACCTTAATTCAATCCTCTACCGTACTGCTTCCAGAACATACACTCTTTGGCAGGATGAAACTTGTCAGCACAAGAGCAGACTGCTAAAGTAAACCAGTCCCTCCTTAAACTATTAATAATGAGTAACAAAATTTCTTCTCTTCTCCATTTGACTCAGATCAGAGACCATGCCATATTTTAGATGCCTGGCAATGCTGCCTTTGAAATTCTCTCCCTTACAAGCAAAGTCACTGAAAGAGACATTTCAAATGTTAAAGAAATAGGATAGGATGGTGGTTTTATTATTGGTTCCTTTGCTAAGTTTTACTGATGTTCCTGACTTGTCCTTTTGGGAGGATGGAGAGAGGTGTGTGGCAGCAAGAGGAGACTGAGATGACAGGATGCAAACTTATTTGAAAAATGCTCACTCCCAGCTGCAGCACAAAGCAGCTGACCAGCAAATCCCAATAAGATATTTCCAAAATTAGCATGAGCTTAAATTTATTTTGGAGGTCAAAAGACAATGCACCATGACAACTGAATTCAGAGAGCCAGCTTTGAAGACACAGAAAAATCAATTGGGCAAGAGGTTTTCAGGAGGAACTGGCAAAATATTGGAAAGTGTCCCCACCAAAGCATGACATGAGGATAGTGGACATACCTTTCTAACTGCTTGGTAATTC